AAGATGTTAAATCAACCTTTCGTGGACTTTTCTTGTTGTGTACTTTATTTTACAAGGTGTGTTTGTGTTGACTTGTTCGCAACTCAAAACTCAGTGACCAGTCTTTCAATCGGGCATAACGCTTATTGGGAAATAACATAGACAAACTGGAGCAACAATAGCTTTTTTTCAAAGAAAAACGTAGAAAATAGAAACAAAAAACTCCACAACTTGTAAATACCACCCACACCTCCTTTACTGTTACATTCAGTCTTTCGGGTAATCAATTCTTTAAACATCTCTTATAACACCACCCAAACCAAGCTTTCTTAACCGAACATTACCCTCTAGTGTGTAGTACACAAGCCTGCTTTGCACTTAAAAGAACCCACGAATCCGTTGGTAAATGACCATATGGTGGCTACATGAATACGTGCGAACGAACACCAAGTTGCAGGTACAGCAACGTGAAGTAAACGTGGACAAAGTACTGTGAGTGTGTGTCCCAGTCCACCCAGCTGTGAATGGGTACCTCGCTAGGATGTGAAAGCCGCAAGAACTCGGTGCGCCTAGTGGTTGCAAGAGTTGTATGATCCCCGGGGAGTTGAGATTGAAAATACGATGAACCCGTTGAGATTGATATCCAGTGATCGAGTGGGGGAAATATACAAGCACCTTGAGCATAAACTAGTTGCGTGGATATTTTCGCTATATAAATATCCTATAATAATATAGAATAATAACATTACTCCATAATTACAGCCTAAATCAAATTCGTTTCCTCTGCTAATTTTCCCCAGCCCGACTTAACGCTAGAATAAGATAACCCAACACCTCTTTATAGTGCCCAGCATCCTGCTTTATAATGGGGAGCGCATGATCGTCAATTTGCCGAATCACTTAACTCTTTCAAGTCCCTCCTAAACACTCATTACTTCTCCATAGCTTTCCATTCTATTTGAAGTGCCATGTATACATTGTACATAGATTTACCTTTTTTGTAGTGCCTTGAGGGAGCATTAAATGCACGGATACAGGCGCAGTTATAAATCCCAACTATTATTATTATTAAATTCTCTACATCGCATACATCAACACAGTCTCTTCATCTGACATACCCATTAATAGCGTCTCTACATCTGACACAACCACACAGTCCCTACGTCTGACACAACCACACAACCTTTACATCTGACATAACCAAACAGTCTCTACACCTGACACAACCACAGTCTCTATATCTGACACAACGACATAGTGTCTACATTTGACACAACACATAGTCTCTACATCACGACACAACACACACAGTCTCTACATCTGACACAACCACACAGTCTCTACTACATCTGGACACAATCAACACAGTCTCTACATCTGACACAACAACACAGTCTCTACATCTGACACAACACACAGTCTCTACATGTGACACACAACCACACAGTATCATGTAACACATCACACACAACCTACACAGTCTCTACAGTCTCTACATTCGACACAACCACACAGTCTCTACATCTGACAGACACAACCACACAGTCTCTGCACATCTGACACAACCACACAGTCTCTACATTTGACACAAACCACATCGTCTCTGTATCTATAAGAATAATACACCTTTACCTCTACACGCTGATATGCTGGTGGTGCCCTCTACATACAGGTGGAGCCTCCATCTGACATGGTAGGCAACGAGTGGCGTTCACCCAGTACGTATCTTCGTTGCACCCATCACATGGCTGCTGCCCTGTTTCAGAATAGAACCCAGGACGACACTTACCTGAAACAACACAGTCCGCAGTGTTAACACAACAACAAATTCACACCTGAAGCACCGTCACGGCAGGTAGCTTTCAATAGTTGTGTATTCTTTCAAATACAAGCAGGTGAACATCGCACTCACTGACATCACATCTTGCTCTTGCTGGTCCGTGGGTCAGTGAGTACATATTGCTGCCACAGCTCTTACAGGAGAGTTGTCCGGGCTGGTCCTGATACTGACCGTCAGGGCACTCAACACAACCTCCACTGGGGACGACGAGTATCCGTGGGGACAAGGTACTGAAACATACAGAGATGATCTGCTTGAAAGACAGCAGCGATGATGGTTTAGGGGGTGGGATCAGTAGGATTATGTTACAGGGATGACATTCTGTGCATGTCACCGTGTGCAGGAGCAATCGGACTGGACGACATCCTAACTGCCGATAAACACGACCAAATCTTGTCACGGTTATTGATGTCTACTTAGAAGTGATGACCATAGTCCACACAGTGGACCCACATGCTGATCACTCGATCCAACGCACGTGAACGCGCTGCTGACAAGAACTCAGCAATGCTCTTCTGGAGAGTGGAACAATCGTCCCTTGGCAACCACCCAGACACTACTGCGCGAGCTGATGTGACCCCTCGTGGTTGCACCACTGCGTCACCCGCGATGATGCTAACAGTTGGATCCTTTTGGGTAAAGAATTTATCTCGTTTTCTGACGTTTTCCCTATTTTCAGATACAATACTCTGATAATGACAGGTGGTTTCACTGAATTTTGGTTTCATGCTGCTTGTTGGCCTATCGTGACATGTAGACATGTGTCACCCTGTGTGAACATAGATATACATGTAAAGTACGGCGACATACGAACATGGCGTTTTACATCAATGAACGTAACCCCTGGTGGCTATAGGATACATTCACTCACGGTATCTGACGGAGATGCGACAGATCACCACTACACGCAATAACACATGGCAGACACAGTGATGACATGTTCACTTAGATAACCCAACGCTTGATATATTCTTCACGTGTCCCCCCATGCTTTACTTATGTGTTAGCGGACTTGAGACATTTCATCTGGACATTATATTCAACTAGTAGTCTAGATCACGTGTATAACTCTGACAATGTAAGTTTACACGGCTCTTCTTTTCAATTGTCAGACCGTCAGTTAGGTGGTTAGTTCACTGACTTTGTATGCTGGTGATTAGACCTCAGTCTGAAAGTGTTGGCTCGAGTCCAGGACGAGACTCAAACCTCAAAAGGTACTACACTCTGTACCGAGGAAGTGTAACACCAAACATCACATGCTATTTACACTATATACAGCTGTATCAACTGTCCGCGTCAAGCAACACATTTCACACAGTGTTAAGGTCTCCGTAGTTGCGTAACAATCGATCTTTAGATACACCAGGATAGAATATTGGTGTGGTTTGCTGTTGGTAGATTGTAACTATGATTTATACTTGAACGTCTACCCACGTTTCCTTAACGGCACAACTGCTGGAAGAACATCAACAGAAGGCAGACAGAGCAAGCTGACAACACACTTAAACCCACTCAAGCAGACAACTTACGACACTTCTTGACAGAGCAAGCTGACAACACACTTAAACCCAATCAAGCAGACGACTTACGACACTTCTTGACAGAGCAAGCTGACAACACACTTAAACCCAATCAAGCAGGCAACCTACGACACTTCTTGACAGAGCAAGCTGACAACACACTTAAAACCCACTCAAGCAGAAAACTTACGACACTTCTTGCTTCCTCCGACGTCTCTCAGCTGGTACCCGACACTACAGGGTTGTCCGAACCGTGTGAGATTAACGCCTGGGGAACTGTCCTGCACAGTGAAGCTACATTCTCCGGCTACCAGCCCAAACAACACTGTCTTCTGTAGGTTGATATTGCCGGCGCAAAGTTCAAGACCTGTGTTCTGTCCATCGTAATTTTCCACTTTAAGCGTCAGTTCCACCTTATGCTGAAAGGAACATAGGGTTCGACAATACCAGTGCAAATATGAATATTGATACAAAGTTTCAAAAGTGAGAGCTAAGTAAAAAGAGGTATCGGTTATTCATTACAAAATGAAATAGATGAATTCGCTTCTCCACGTTTATGGAATTGTCTGGAAATACTCTGGCAATACTCGATACCTGTGTACAGAACAAAGCTGCAGACATGTGTACATACATCAAAGAGAGCGGGAACACCAACAAAGATGGCCTCGGCGACACTGAAGCGGTATCTGGCGTTCAGCTGTCCCTGAAACGGACACAGATTGTTGATGCCGGATGTTGTGGGGGATATCACATCGTTGTAAAGGTTTGTTAAGTCGCTGCGGCATGCACTGTCCGCGTTCACCAGGTCCCTGGACTTCAGATTCAGGGCTGACCTTGTACGTGTACTCGGTGATGGGAGGAGGCTGTGGTACCAAAGTGTACAAACAGTTGAAATATACATATGTACATGTACACAGGATGTGGTAGGCTTCACGGAGTACAAGTACAGCAACGTATATTGATATATACTATTAAAAAGTAGCGGAGACTAAACAATCTATCTATTGTTTATGTGTGTGTAAGAACAGATAGAGAAAGACGGGGTAAAGAAGAGTGAGAGACAGTGTATGAGAAAGAGAGAGAGGTGCTGACAGTTGGGGTGATTAGGAGAGACTTGGGAAAGTCATACCAGTTATATGCGTTATAACGCCTTGTCAGTGTCAACCAGCAACCTGCAAGTGGTACTACATGTACCATAAAGATTACATTGGCAACCGTCCACCTACGTAAACAGTCCTCGAGAGGTAAAGATGGTGACCAGAGATTCTCTCCCGAACAGTTGTATGTACGACTTGTGGAGCCGTCGGCAAGGGCATAACCATTTTTGCAGGTGACGACAGAGGAGAGGATGCTGTAGCCGTTGTTGCTGGAGCGATTAACGTCAGCTTTCTGTAGACTGTTGGTCAGCTCGTGGAAACATTTTCCAGCTTAAACAACATGAGCGAGCAGTAAATGTGTTTAGCACATTTGTCTAAAAGCATCAACATAAGTGTTGAGCAAAATTGGACGTATTTGTGTTCGTATAAAAACACTCGAAAATTCAACAAAAGGTGAATTCAATAAGAATAGTATTTCAAGATTTGATGTGTATAACTGTATGTATATTGTTTCTGCTATAATGAACATGTTCAGGGCCATAATCAAAGAGAATTCTTAGGTTTAAACTCAAACTGCTTGTGACAGGAATTATTCCATAACAATAAGGGTTAAGTGGCCATAAACGAACATAAGCACAAAGGTTAGAAAGATGGGAGTTTACCTTTGATCAGAACTTGGAAGGCACAAGTCTTTTCAAATCCCTGGTCGTTGCGCAGCGTGACTCTGTAGTCATTGAACGTGCCCACATTAGACAAATTGACGATGGTTGTTGGGGAAGAGGTCAGTGCTCCGCTGCTGTGGGTGATCTGGTCGGCGATGTTGTAAGTGGTGGGTGTCGTTGATGTCACATTGTATGTTATATGAGGACAGTCCAGGGTCATGAAGCTCATTTCTGATAAATCATAGCACATTTTCATAAACAAACAGAAGAACCCTACACTTTAAGTTTTTGTTTTTGCTGGATGGGTGTCTGGAGGAAAAGTTGTCGAACAATTAACTTTATTAAAGGAACGAAATATCTCGAAAGTGTAATATCCATTATTCAAATAATCGTAATACGATGTTGCCATTTCTTACAAGTAGATGAAGAAAGAATCACATTTGTATTCAGCATACTAGTCTATATGTATAGCTTAGCATTAGTTTGTGTCACATCCTCTATCAAAATTTCTTTGAAGGAAAGAGTTGACTTACTTCCGGGTTTACAGTCACTAAGAGTCTTTGAGCCTGTCTGTTCTGTGGTCTGGTTTAAGTCGCACTCCTTACACTGTGTCTGTGCTCTGGAGTCTTGGTAAAAATGGCGAGGACACGGTGTACAGGGAGCGTAGCCAGTCACGGAGTACTGACCACTGGGACACGGTGCTGAAACAGACGAATAACACAATAGAGTAGCACAAGGGATGATGATAAAACATGCAGATATCGTTTCGTGGTATGTTTGTCACACCGGCAAAACAATCTCACGTTCATTCAGGTCAGATAATTGGGTTGGGTGAGGATTGTGTGGGTTATGCCTGTGTTTCACACCCTGTATGTATGTAACACAATATAACAGGCGTGGTTCTCAGCAGCTACAGACGCCCAGGGCCAGCTGAGTTAAACTAACGTGTGACGTAGGTACAAGATGTTAAATCAACCTTTCGTGGACTTTGCGTTGTGTACTTTTATTTTACAAAGTGTGATTGTGAAGACTTGTTCGCAACTCAAAACTCAGTGACCAGTCCTTCAATCGGGCATAACGCTTATTGGGAAATAACATAGACAAACTGAGCAACAATAATAGTTTTTTTCAAAGAAAAACGTAGAAAAATAGAAACAAAAACTCCACAACTTGTAAATACCACCCACAATTCCTTTACTGGCACACATTCAGTCTTTCGGGTAATCAATTCTTTAAACATCTCTTATAACACCACCCAAACCAAGCCTTCTTAACCGAACATTACCCCCTAGTGTGTAGTACACAAGCCTGCTTTGCACTTAAAAGAACCCACGAATCCGTTGGTAAATGACCAGATGGTGGCCACATGAATACGTGCGAACACCAAGTTGCAGGTACAGCAACGTGAAGTAAACGTGCACAAAGTACTGTAACTATCTGTCCCAGTCCACCCAGCTGTGAATGGGTACCTCGCTAGGATGTGAAAGCCGCAAGAACTCGGTGCGCCTAGTGGTTGCAAGAGTTGTATGATCCCCGGGGAGTTGAGATTGAAAATACGATGAACCCGTTGAGATTGATATCCAGTGATCGAGAGGGAAATATACAAGCACCTTGAGCATAAACTAGTTGCGTGGATATTTTCGCTATATAAATATCCTATAATAATATAGAATAATAACATTACTCCATAATTACAGCCTAAATCAAATTCGTTTCCTCCGCTAATTTCCCCAGCCCGACTTAACGCTAGAATAAGATAACCCAACACCTCCTTATAGTGCCCAGCATCCTGCTTTATAATGGGGAGCGCATGATCGTCAAATTTGCCGAATCACTTAACTCTTTCAAGTCCCTCCTAAACACTCATTACTTCTCCATAGCTTTCCATTCTATTTGAAGTGCCATGTATACATTGTACATAGATTTACCTTTTTTGTAGTGCCTTGAGGGAGCATTAAATGCACGGATACAGGCGCAGTTATAAATCCCAACTATTATTATTATTAAATTCTCTACATCGCATACATCAACACAGTCTCTTCATCTGACATACCCACACAGTCTCTACATCTGACACAACCACATAGTCCCTACGTCTGACACAACCACACAACCTTTACATCTGACATAACCAAACAGTCTCTACATCTGACACAACCACACAGTCTCTACACCTGACACAACCACAGTCTCTATATCTGACACAACGACATAGTGTCTACATTTGACACAACACACAGTCTCTACATCTGACACAATCACACAGTCTCTACTTCTGACACAACAACACAGTCTCTACATCTGACACAACACACAGTCTCTACATCAGACACAACAACACAGTCTCTACATGTAACACAACCACACAGTCCCTACATCTGACACAACCACACAGTCTCTACATCTGACACAACCACACAGTCTCTACATCTGACACAACCACACAGTCTCTACATCTGACACAACCACACAGTCTCTACATTTGACACAACCACATCGTCTCTGTATCTATAAGAATAATACACCTTACCTCTACACGCTGATATGCTGGTGGTGCCCTCTACATACAGGGTGGAGCCTCCATCTGGACATGGTAGGCAATGAGTGGCGTTCACCCAGTACGTATCTTCGTTGCACCCATCACATGGCTGCTGCCCTGTTTCAGAATAGAACCCAGGACGACACTTACCTGAAACAACACAGTCCGCAGTGTTAACACAACAACAAATTCACACCTGAAGCACCGTCACGGCAGGTAGCTTCAATAGTTGTGTATTCTTTCAAATACAAGCAGGTGAACATCGCACTCACTGACACATCTTGCTCTGCTGGTCCGTGGGGTCAGTGAGTACATATTGCTGCCACAGCTCTTACAGGAGAGTTGTCCGGGCTGGTCCTGATACTGACCGTCAGGGCACTCAACACAACCTCCACTGGGGGACGACGAGTATCCGTGGGGACAAGGTACTGAAACATACAGAGATATCTGTTGAAAGACAGCAGCGATGATGGTTTAGGGTGGGATCAGTAGGATTATGTTACAGGGATGACATTCTGTGCATGTCACCGTGTGCAGGAGCAATCGGACTGGACGACATCCTAACTGCCGATAACACACGACCAAATCTTGTCACGGTTATTGATGTCTACTTAGAAGTGATGACCATAGTCCACACAGTGGACCCATGCTTGATCACTCGATCCAACGCACGTGAACGCGCTGCTGACAAGAACTCAGCAATGCTCTTTCTGGAGAGTGGAACAATCGTCCCTTGGCAACCATCCAGACACTACCGCGAGCTGATGTGACCCTCGTGGTTGCACCACTGCCTCACCCGCGATGCTAACAGTTGGATCCTTTTGGGTAAAGAATTTATCTCGTTTTCTGACGTTTTCCCTATTTTCAGATACTCTGATAATGACAGGTGGTTTCACTGAATTTTGGTTTCATGCTGTTTGTTGGCCTATCGTGACATGTAGACATGTGTCACCCTGTGTGAACATAGATATACATGTAAAGTACGGCGACATACGAACATGGCGTTTTACATCAATGAACGTAACCCCTGGTGGCTATAGGATACATTCACTCACGGTATCTGACGGAGATGCGACAGATCACCACTACACGCAATAACACACAGACAGTGATGACATGTCTACTTAGATAACCCAAGGCTTGATATATTCTTCACGTGTCCCCCCATGCTTGACTTATGTGTTAGCGGACTTGAGACATTTCATCTGGACATTATATTCAACTAGTAGTCTAGATCACGTGTATAACTCTGACAATGTAAGTTTACACGGCTCTTCTTTTCAATTGTCAGACCGTCAGTTAGGTGGTTAGTTCACTGACTTTGTATGCTGGCGATTAGACCTCAGTCTGAATGTGTTGGCTCGAATCCAGGACGAGACTCAAACCTCAAAAGGTACTACACTCTGTACCGAGGAAGTGTAACACCAAACATCACATGCTATTTACACTATATACAGCTGTATCAACTGTCCGCGTCAAGCAACACATTTCACACAGTGTTAAGGTCTCCGTAGTTGCGTAACAATCGATCTTTAGATACACCAGGATAGAATATTGGTGTGGTTTGCTGTTGGTATATTGTAACTATGATTTATACTTGAAAGTCTACCCACGTTTCCTTAACGGCACAACTGCTGGAAGAACATCAACAGAAGGCAGACAGAGCAAGCTGACAACACACTTAAACCCACTCAAGCAGACAACTTACGACACTTCTTGACAGAGCAAGCTGACAACACACTTAAACCCAATCAAGCAGACAACTTACGACACTTCTTGACAGAGCAAGCTCACAACACACTTAAACCCACTCAAGCAGGCAACCTACGACACTTCTTTGACAGAGCAAGCTCGACCAGACAACACACTTAAACCCACTCAAGCAGACAACTTACGACACTTCTTGACAGATCAAGTGGACAACACACTTAAACCCAATCAAGCAGACAACTTACGACACTTCTTGACAGAGCAAGCTGACAACACACTTATACCCAATCAAGCAGACAACCTACGACACTTCTTGACAGAGCAAGCTGACAACACACTTAAACCCACTCAAGTAGACAACTTACGGCTCTTCTTGACAGAGCAAGCTGACAACACACTTACAACCACTCAAGCAGACAACTTACGACACTTCTTGACAGAGCAAGCTGACAACACACTTAAACCCACTTTAGCAGACAACTTACGACACTTCTTGACAGAGCAAGCTGACAACACACTTAAACCCAATCAAGCAGGCAACCTACGATACTTCTTGACAAAGCAAGCTGACAACACACTTAAAACCCACTCAAGCAGACAACTTACGACACTTCTTGCTTCCTCCGACGTCTCTCAGCTGGTACCCGACACTACAGGGTTGTCCGAACCGTGTGAGATTAACGCCTGGGGAACTGTCCTGCACAGTGAAGCTACATTCTCCGGCTACCAGCCCAAACAACACTGTCTTCTGTAGGTTGATATTGCCGGCGCAAAGTTCAAGACCGGTGTTCTGTCCATCGTAATTTTCCACTTTAAGCGTCAGTTCCACCTTATGCTGAAAGGAACATAGGGTTCGACAATACCAGTGCAAATATGAATATTAATGCAAAGTTTCAAAACAGAGAGCTAAGTAAAAAGAGGTATCGGTTATTCATGACAAAATGAAATAGATGAATTCGTTTCTCCACGTTTATGGAATTGTCTGGAAATACTCTGGCAATACTCGATACCTGTGTACAGAACAAAGCTGCAGACATGTGTACATACATCAAAGAGAGCGGGAACACCAACAAAGATGGCCTCGGCGACACTGAAGCGGTATCTGGCGTTCAGCTGTCCCTGAATCGGACACAGATTGTTGATGCCGGATGTTGTGGGGGATATCACATCGTTGTAAAGGTTTGTTAAGTCGCTGCGGCATGCACTGTCCGCGTTCACCAGGTCCCTGGACTTCAGATCTAGGCTGACCTTGTACGTGTACTCGGTGATGGGGGAGGAGGCTGTGGTACCAAAGTGTACAAACAGTTGAAATATACATATGTACATGTACACAGGATGTGGTAGGCTTCACGGAGTACAAGTACATAACGTATATTAATATATACTATTAAAAAAAAGTAGCGGAGACTAAACAATCTATCTATTGTTTATGTGTGTGTGTAAGAACAGATAGAGAAAGACGGGGTAAAGAAGAGTGAGAGACAGTGTATGAGAAAGAGAGAGAGGTGCTGACAGTTGGGGTGATTAGGAGAGACTTGGGAAAGTCATACCAGTTATATGCGTTATAACGCCTTGTCAGTGTCAACCAGCAACCTGCAAGTGGTACTACATGTACCATAAAGATTACATTGGCAACCGTCCACCTACGTAAACAGTCCTCGAGAGGTAAAGATGGTGACCAGAGATTCTCTCCCGAACAGTTGTATGTACGACTTGTGGAGCCGTCGGCAAGGGCATAACCATTTTTGCAGGTGACGACAGAGGAGAGGATGCTGTAGCCGTTGTTGCTGGAGCGATTAACGTCAGCTTTCTGTAGACTGTTGGTCAGCTCGTGGAAACATTTTCCAGCTTAAACAACATGAGCGAGCAGTAAATGTGTTTAGTTGCATTTGTCTAAAGCATCAACATAAGTGTTGAGCAAAATTGGACGTATTTGTGTTCGTATAAAACACTCGAAAATTCAACAAAAGGTGAATTCAATAAGAATAGTATTTCAAGATTTGATGTGTATAACTGTATGTATATTGTTTCCCTGCTATAATGAACATGTTCAGGGCCATAATCAAAGAGAATTCTTAGGTTTAAACTCAAACTGCTTGTGACAGGAATTATTCCATAACAATAAGGGTTAAGTGGCCATAAACGAACATAAGCACAAAGGTTAGAAAGATGGGAGTTTACCTTGATCAGAACTTAGAAGGCACAAGTCTTTTCAAATCCCTGGTCGTTGCGCAGCGTGACTCTGTAGTCATTGAACGTGCCCACATTAGACAAATTGACGATGGTTGTTGGGGAAGAGGTCAGTGCTCCGCTGCTGTGGGTGATCTGGTCGGCGATGTTGTAAGTGGTGGGTGTCGTTGATGTCACATTGTATGTTATATGAGGACAGTCCAGGGTCATGAAGCTCATTTCTGATAAATCATAGCACATTTTCATAAGCAAACAGAAGAACCCTACACTTTAAGCTTTTTGTTTTTGCTGGATGGGTGACTGGAGGAAAAGTTGTCGAACAATTAACTTTATTAAAGGAACGAAATATTTCGAAAAAGTAATACAGTATATATCCGTTATTCAAATAATCGTAATACGATGTTGCCATTTCTTACCTTCTCAGTAGATGAAGAAAGAATCACATTTGTATTCAGCATACTAGTCTATATATATAGTTTAGTATTAGTTTGTGTCACATTCTCTATCAAAATTTCTTTGAAGGAAAGAGTTGACTTACTTCCGGGTTTACAGTCACTAAGTGTCTTTGAGCCTGTCTGTTCTGTGATCTGGTCTGTGTCGCACTCCTTACACTGTGTCTGTGCTCTGGAGTCTTGGTAAAAATGGCGAGGACACGGTGTACAGGGAGCGTAGCCAGTCACGGAGTACTGACCACTGGGACACGGTGCTGGAACAGACGAATAACACCATAGAGTAGCACAAGGGATGATGATACAAAATGCAAAGAGCAGATATCGTTTCGTGGTATGTTTGTCACACCGGCAAAACAATCTCACGTTCATTCATGTCAGATAATTGGGTTGGGTGAGGATTGTGTGGGTTATGCCTGTGTTTCACACCCTGTATGTATGTAACACAATATAACAGGCGTGGTTCTCAGCAGCTACAGACTCCCAGGGCCAGCTGAGTTAAACTAACGTGTGACGTAGGTACAAGATGTTAAATCAACCTTTCGTGGACTTTGCGTTGTATACTTTTATTTTACAAAGTGTGTTTGTGTTGACTTGTTCGCAACTCAAAACTCAGTGACCAGTCTTTCAATCGGGCATAACGCTTATTGGGAAATAACATAGACAAACTGAGCAACAGTAATAGTTTATTTCAGAGAAATACGTAGATAAATAGAAACAAAAACTCCACAACTTGCAAATACCACCCACAATTCCTTTACTGGCACACATTCAGTCTTTCGGATACATCAATTCCTTAAACATCTCTTATAACACCACCCAAACCAAGCCTTCTTAACCGAACATTACCCCCCTAGTGTACAGTACACAACCCTGCTGTGCACTTAAAAGAACCCACGAACCCGTTGGTAAATGACCAGATGGTGGCCACATGAATACGTGCAAACACCTAGTTGCGGGTACAGCAACGTGAAGTAAACGTGGACAAAGTACTGTGACTATGTGTCCAATTCCACCCAGCTGTGAATGGGTACCTCGCTAGGATGTGAAAGCTGCAATAACTCGGAGTGCCTAGTTGTTGCAAGAGTTGTATGATCCCCGGGGAGTTGAGATTTAAAATACGCTACATAAATATCCTATAATAATAAAAAATAATAACATTACCCCATAATTACAGCATAAATCATGTTTCGTTTCCTACGCTAATTTCCTCCCAGCCCGACTTAACGCTAGAATAAGATAACCCAACACATCTTTATAGTGCCCTGCTTTATAACGGGGAGCGCATGATCGTCAAATTTGCCGAATCACTTAACTCTTTCAAGTCCCTCCTAAAAACTAATTACTTCTCCATAGGGTTCCATTCTATTTGAAGTGCCATGTATACATTGTACATTTTACCTTTTTTGTAGTGCCCTGAGCGAGCATTAAATGCACGGATACAGGCGCAGTTATAAATACCCACTATTATTATTATTATTAAATTCTCTACATCGCATACATCCACACAGTCTCTACATCGGACACAACCACACAGTCCCTACATCGGACACAACCACACAGCCTCTACATCGGACACAACCACACAGCCTCACTTCTGACACAACCACACAGTCCCTACATCTGACACAACCACACAGTCCCTTCATCTGACACAACCACGCAGTCTCTACATCTGACACAACCACACAATCCCTACATCTGACACAACCACACAGTCTCTACATCTGACACAACCACATCGTCTCTGTATCTATAAGAATAATACACCTTACCTCTGCACGCGGATATGCTGGTGGTGCCCTCTACATACAAGGTGGAGCCTCCATCTGGACATGGTAGGCAATGAGTGGCGTTCACCCAGTACGTATCTTCTTGGCACTCAACACATGGCTGCTGCCCTGTTGTAGAATAGAACCCAGGACGACACTTATCTGAAACAATACAGTCCACAGTGTTAACACAACACATTCACACCTGAAGCACCATCACCGTAGGTAGTTTCAATAGTTGTGTATTCTTTCAAATACAAGCAGGTGAACATCGCACTCACTGACACATCTTGCTCTGCTGGTCCGTGGGGTCAGTGAGTACATGTCGCTGCCACAGCTCTTACAGGAGGGTTGTCCGGGCTGGTCCTGATACTGACCGTCAGGGCACTCAACACAATCTCCACTGGGGGACGACGAGTATCCGTGGGGACACGGTACTGAAACATACAGAGATATCTGTTGAAAGACAGCAGCGCGGTAGTGAAACATACAGAGATATCTGTTGAAAGACAGCAGGGATGATGGTTTAGGGTGGGATCAGTAGGATTATGTTACAGGGATGACATTCTGTGCGTGTCACCGTGTGCAAGTGCAATCGGACTGGACGACATCCTAACTGACGATAACACACGACCAAATCTTGTCACGGTTATTGATGTCTACTTAGAAGTGATGACCATAGTCCACACAGTGGACCCATGCTTGATCACTCGATCCAACGCACGTGAAACGAGCTGCTGGCAAGAACTCAGCAATGCTCTTTCTGGAGAGTGGAACAATCGTCCCTTGGCAACCATCCAGACACTACCTCGAGCTGATGTGACCCTCGTGGTTGCACCACTGCGTCACCCGCGATGCTAACAGTTGGATCCTTTTGGGTAAAGAATTTATCTCGTTTTCTGACGTGTTCCGTTTTTTCAGATACTCTGATAATGACAGGTGGTTTCATTGAATTTTGGTTTCATGCTGTTTGTTGGCCCATCGTGACACGTAGACATGTGTCACCCTGTGTGAACATAGATATACATGTAAAGTACGGCGACATACGAACATGGCGTTTACATCAATGAACGTACTCCATGGTGGCTATAGGATACATTCACTCACGGTATCTGACGGAGATGCGACAGATCACCACAACACATAGGCAGTGATGACATGTCTACCTAGATAACCCAACGCTTGATATATTCTTCACGTGTCTCTCCATGCTTGACTTACTTGAGACATTTCATCTGGACATTATATTCAACTAGTAGTCTATATCACGTGTAGAATTTTGACAATGTAAGTTTACACGGCTCTTGTTTTCAATTGTCAGACTGTCATTTAGGTGGTTAGATCACTGACTTTGTATGCTGGGGATTAGACCTCAGTCTGAAAGTGTTGTTTCGAGTCCAGGACGAGACTCAAACCTCAAAAGGTACTGCAACCTGTACTTTACAGAGGAAGTGTTATACCAAACATCACATGTTATTTACGCTATATACAGCTGTATCAACTGGCGGCGTCAAGCAACACTTTTCACATAGTATTAAGGTCTCCGTAGTTACGTAACAATCAATCTTTAGATACACCAGGATAGAGTATTTGTGTGGTTTGCCGTTGGTACATTGTAACTATGATTTATACTTGAACGTCTACCCACGTTTCCTTCACGGCACAACTGCTGGAAGAACATCAACAGAAGGCAGACAGAGCAAGCTGACACCACACTTACAACCACTCAAGCAGACAACTTACGACACTTCTTGACAGAGCAAGCTGACAACACACTTAAACCCACTCAAGCAGACAACTTACGACACTTCCTGACAGAGCAAGCTGACAACACACTTCAACCCACTCAAGCAGACAACTTACGACACTTCTTGACAGAGCAAGCTGACAAAACACTTAAACCCAATGAAGCAGACAACTTACGACACTTCTTGACAGAGCAAGCTGACAACACACTTACAACCACTCAAGCAGACAACTTACGACACTTCTTGACAGAGCAAGCTGACAACACACTTAAACCCACTCAAACAGACAACTTACGACACTTCTTGAGAGAGCAAGCTGACAACACACTTAAACCCACTCATGCACACAACTTACGACACTTCTTAACAGAGCAAGCTGACAACACACTTCAACCCACTCAAGCAGACAACTTACGACACTTCTTGAGAGAGCAAGCTGACAACACACTTAAACCCACTCAAGCAGACAACTTACGACACTTCTTGCTTCCTCCGACGTCTCTCAGCTGGTACCCGACACTGCAGGATTGTCCGGACCGTGTGAGATTAACACCTGTGGAACTGTCCTGCACAGTGAAGGCACAGTCTCCGGGTTCCAGCCCAAACAACACTGTCTTCTGTAGGTTGATATTGCCGGCGCAAAGTTCAGGACCCGTGTTCTGTCCATCGTAATTTTCCAGTTTAAGCGTAAGTTCCACCTTATGCTGAAAGGAACATAGGGTTCGACAATACCAGTGCAAATATGAATATTGATACAAAGTTTCAAAACTGAGAGCTAAGTTAAAAGAGGTACCGGTTATTCATGACAAAATGAAATAGATGAATTCGTTTCGCCACGTTTATGGAATTGTCTGGAAATACTCTGGCAATACTCAATACTTGTGTACAGAACAAAGCTACAGACACGTGTACATACATCAAAGAGAGCGGGAACACCAACAAAGATGGCCTCGGCGACACTGAAGCGGTATCTGGCGTTCAGCTGTCCCTGAATCGGACACAGATTGTTGATGCCGGATGCATTGGGGGATATCACATCGTTGTAAAGTTTTGCTAAGTCACTGCGGCATGCACTGGCCGCGTTCACCAGGTCCCTGGACTTCAGGTGTAGGCTGACCTTGTACGTGTACTCGGTGATGGAGGAGGCTGTGGTACCAATGTGTACAAACAGTTGAAATATGTACATGTACACAGGATGTGGCAGGCTTCACAGAGTACATGTACACAACGTATATTAATATATACTCTTAAAAAAAAGTAGCGGAGACTAATATTCTTATTTTAGATAGGAAGTATAAGCGCTAACAAACTTTTCAAAGACAGACCATTTCTCTTTCAAGAGTGATTACTGTACAAACAAGGATGCCCATAAAGAAGTGCAAGTGGTGATGCACTCTCAAAACATTCATTATAATCATATCCACATTTTTACAATCCTAAATTAAAAATTAAGTTCCCCAACTTTCTTTGAAGAGTTTAAAATGAGTCCAGATATTTCTCCTTATAAAAACCCTTTATCTATCTATCTATCTATCTATCTATCTAAAGAAGAGTGAGAGACAGTGTAAGAGAAAGAGAGAGAGGTGCTGACAGTAGGGGAGATTGGGAGAGACTTGGGAAAGTCATACCAGTTATATGCGTTATAACGCCTTGTCAGTGTCAACCAGCAACCTGCAAGTGGTACTACATGTACCATAAAGATTACATTGGCAACCGTCCACCTACGTAAACAGTCCTCGAGAGGTAAAGATGGTGACCAGAAATTCTCTCCCGAACAGTTGTATGTACGACTTGTGGAGCCGTCGGCAAGGGCATAACCATTTTTGCAGGTGACGACAGAGGAGAGGATGCTGTTGTCGTTGTTGCTGGAGCGATTAACGTCAGCGTTCTGTAGACTGTTGGTCAGCTCGTGGAAACACTTTCCAGCTTAAACAACATGAGCGAGCAGTAAATGTGTTTTTCATGTTTGTCCAAAAGCATCAACATAAGTGCCGAGACTATGTAATATAATGTCCTCAGCAGACTATTATTTGTGTTCGTATAAAAACACTCGAACATTCAAGAAAAGGTTAATTCAATAAGAATAGTATTTCAAGATTTGATGTGTATAACTGTATGTATATTGTTTCTGCTATAATGAACATGTTCAGGGCCATAATCAAAGAGATAGTCTTTGGAATTCTTAGGTTTAAACTCAAAGTGCCTGTGACAGGAATTATTCCATAACAATAAGGGTTAAGTGGCCATCCCCAGATTTACTGTCTAAACCAACATAAGGGAAACTGTCTGATCTATATCTAGACCTGTGCATAGAGAATCAGAGTGACAGAGTACCCATCTGCAAGACTGCATTACGAACCGGAATAATCTGAATATTCCCTTTCAACAACCCCCTCATCGCACATAAATAGTTTAACTGTTATCATCGTGTTGTCGGGGTAAAGCACAAAAGTTAGAAAGAAGGGAGTTTACCTTTGATCAGAACTTGGAAGGTGCAAGTCTTTTCAAATCCCTGGTCGTTGCGCAGCGTGACTCTGTAGTCATTGAACGTGCCCACATTGGTCAAATTGACGATGGTTGTGGGGGAAGAGGTCAGTGCTCCGCTGCTGTGGGTGATCTGGTCGGCGATGTTGTATGTGGTGGGTGTCGTTGATGTCACATTGTATGTTATATGAGGACAGTCCAGGGTGATGGAGCTCATTTCTGATAAGTCATAGGACATTTTCATAAACAAACAGAAGAACCCTACACTTTTAGTTTTTTTGTTTTTTTTTATTTCGGAGTTTTTAAATTTTTATTGCTAAACTATAAGTTGATAAGATAACACTAATATCTACTGTTTTTGTACATATCAGCGTAATACTATGCGAAAACACATTTAGTAGCTGGTGTTCGCTGTGAGTGCGTGCGCGTGCGTGTGCGTGTGCGTGTGTGAGTAACTGTGTATTTATCTGTGAGTGATGCTGTATATGTGAACATGTGTCCGCGAAAGTTCATTGTTTTCACGTGAATGTATGTGCGTTGTCATACCTTTCGATTTTAAAAACAGTGTGTGTGTGAGGACGAGTATGTGTGTGTGAGAGTATGATAACTGAACAAATACACTGTACTGCGGAGTTTGTATCTGTAACAGCACACACTGTACTGAGGAGATTGTGCATGGAGACACACTGTACTGAGGAGATTGAGTCTGTAACAGTACACACTGTACTGAGGAGATTGTGTCTGTAACAGTACACACTGTACTGAGGAGATTGTGTCTGTAACAGTACACACTGTACTGAGGAGATTGTGTCTGTAACAGTACACACTATACTGAGGAGATTGTGTCTGTAACAGTACACGCTGTACTGGGGAGATTGTGTCTATAAGAGGACACACTGCACTGCGGAGATTGTGTCTGTAACAGTACACACTGTACTGAGGAGATTGTGTCTATAATTAAACACCTGAAAACGTACAGCTTGTCACCTACCTCTGACATTGATATGGAACTTGCACTGGGAACTTCGACCAGCACCATCCGTGGCTTCATAAGTTACTTCTGTGTTCCTCAACACTGGGTCCGCTGGATTGAAGCCACGCGGAAGGATAAAACCTTTCATGCTAAGAAAGCCAGAGTTGTCTTGAACGGAGGGGATGGTGATGTTTGGTACCTGCATCTTGTAGATGGTAATGTTCCTGTCACCGTCACAGTTGGCAAACACCGGGGGCATTGTATCTAAATACAGTATACATTACCTATTGAAGTTTGTGCAAACAAAATACAATATAATATAACACAATGTATAACATTATTTGAAGTGTGTTTCTGCAATACAATATGATATAATATACCACTGGAATAAAGAGAATGTGCGTTATTTGCTGTTGTGCCATTTTTAATGCAAAAAGAAAACATGACTTGTGGTATTGTCCTTAATCACTGGTCTTGAAGAGATGTGGTGTCAAAAGTCAATTCACAAGTCCAGTATCGTGTGTGTACACCATTGATAACGACGACGCACAGACGACACGAAGTAATTGACGAAAGCTCAGGAAATGTTGTTCCATGTCTGAACCAACGCTTATCCCATTTCAGCAAAGGTCAATGGCTGATTCTGGGCTTGACGTAAACGTTGCTCCATGTGACCCCAAGCGTGCTCGACAGGGGACAGGTCCGGAGAAATAGCTGGCCAGGGGAGTACCGGAATGTGAGTGAACAAAGCACCATTCCGATCTTGTCTACTGTACTGTAGATGTTGTCTGAACAAGGCAAGACGTGCCTGTCGATGACGTTGGAGCAAAATATTGGACGTATTGAAAACCATCGGGGCCGGATGTTGTGCTCCCTCAGTCGGTTCCGAAGAGTCCTGGAACTGATTGGACGTAAGTCAGGAATGGTCAGAGCAGTCAATCTCGATGGGTCACCCGAATGTGGTTGTCTTGCTGACCTCACGCGTTGACGGCCGGTCCGAGGTAACTATAGTATGACCAGAAATTACTGAGAATTTTAGGAATATGTTTAATTTGATTTCTAGTATAAACAGCCTTGACCAGCTATCCAGTGTTTGGTTTCATTCAAGAGAGACAACTCCGTTAATCCCTTTTCATTAGTTTTGTGAAGGGTTATCCCCCTTTGTTTACTTGCTAGCAGACGACATTTTCAGTGATCCTCAGTATGGATGATTTCGAGAAGAGGAAGTTGATTTTAGAGTATTATAACAAGGACATCAGATCAGCTAAAGTGATTTCAAGTAGAACAGGCATCCCTTTGTCCACTGTTTATCGTGTTTTGAAAAATATTGCAAATGGATATGGCATTGAGCACCAGGGAGGCGCAGGTAGGCGCAGAAAATTGACTGTCGGTGACAGGAGGCGGCTTGGTATTCTTGTTTCTAAAAACAAACGAAGGAGTTTAGAAAACTTAAGACTGGATATGATTGATAGATGAACTGTGGCTGTCTGTAAGGAGACAATTAGAACTGAGCTGCATGCAATGGGTTGGCAGGAAAGTCGAGGAATTCCATCACCGATCATGAAACCTGTACAAAAGGAGCGAAGGTTGAACTGGTGCTTACAGCATAGAAATTTTAACTGGGACAATGTGATTTTCTCAAATGAAAGTTCTGTGTGGCTGTTTCCTAATACACTGAAATTCTGGACCAAACAAACTGAAAAACCTTTGTATCAGCGCCCAAAGTACAGTCCGAAATTTAACGTGTGGGGTGGCATATCTAGATCTGTGTTAGGGGCAACGCCCCTCTGTGTACTTGAAGGGAATATGAACAGTGAGCGGTACACAGATATTCTGGAGGGACATTTACTTCCATCTGCTCACGTGTTCTATGGAAATGTTTGGATTTTCCAGCAGGAAAACGACCCGAAACATTGTTCAAAGCATTCACAGGCCTGGTTTCGGACCCAAAATATGACATATTTAGATTGGCCAAGCTATAGCCCTGACCTAAATCCAATAGAAAATGTTTGGGGACTTATGAAGGAAAGTGTCAATAAGAAAAATCTGACAAATATTGCTGAAATGAAAGAAGAGGTGGTCCGATATTGGGGCAGCATGGACCACGACTTTCTAACTTCTTTGATCAGTAGTATGCCCCGCCGCATTGAAGCCTGCATTGCTACCCATGGTGACTTGACAAAATACTAACTGTTCACCTGTCTTTGAATCTGGAGTTATGTTCTGCTAATATTCACATTTAATACGTGAGCAATGAGTGAAAAAAATAACAAAATTACAATCTTTAATTCTCAATAATTCCTGGTTGTACTGTATCTGGTGTTCCCATTGTGTTGAAAACGTCTCCAAAGAGATGCGACCCTGTTTCTATGACACCAAAATGTCTGGCCATTTATTTTGGGCAATTCCAGTCTCCAGCATACCCACGGCCTGGAGATATTGATTTTCTGTAAGCCGCGCCATGACGTACACGTAGTTTATGTCGAAATAACGTGCTTCCGTGACATTCAGAGGCTAGAGAGTAATGAACCATTCTTTAATTTTCAATATCAGGTGTGGGAACTTCGGGTTTTTTAAAAAAAGCAAAAATGGGTAAGTTCACTGTGCACATCAAATTTCATACATAATTATTTTCTAAGTTTTGAAATAATTTTTATTTTATGCAATTTTATGTCATTCAAATTTACATGTTTCCGTTTATATATTATTTAAAGAGTCATATTTGATAAAACTCAAAATGTGTCCAAACGTGCAATTATATTCTACATCACATTCAGGGTAATTCTAATACCTGAACCTGCAGTGTGTATTTGTAAAAGACAGTATAATGAATGCCGGTACCTATCACTGCATCAACTATTAAATTACCTTCCACTCACCGTTTTCTTCATGAACACTTCTATTAAGTGATTACCTAAACACACAAGAACACTTCCATCCAGTGACTACCGTCATAAACAGGAACACATTCATCCAGTGATTACCGTCACACACAGAAACACTTCCATCAAATGATTACAGTCACACACAGGAACACTTCCATCCAGTGATTACAGTCACACACAGAAACACTTTCATCCAGTGACTACCGTCACACACAGGAACACTTCCATCCAGTGATTACCTTCAAACACAGAAACACTTCCATCCAGAGACTATCGTCGAACACAGAAACACTTCCACCCAGTGATTACCGTCACACACAGAAACACTTCCACCCACTGATTACCTTCACACACAGGAACACTTCCACCCAGGGATTACCGTCACACACAGGAACACTTCCATCGAGTGATTACCGTTACACACAGAAACAATTTCATTCAGTGATTACCGTTACACACAGAAACACTTCCATCCAGTGATTACCGTCACACACAGGAACACTTCCATTCAGTGATTACCGTCACACACAGAAACACTTCCATCCAGTGACTACTGTCGAACACAGAAACACTTCCACTCAGTGATTACCATCTCACAGAAACACTTCCATTCAGTGATTACCGTTACACACATCAAAACTTCCATTCAGTGATTACCGTCAAACACAGAAACAGTTCCACTCAGTGATTACCTTCAGACAGAAACACTTCCACACAGTGATTAACTTCACACAAAGGACCACTTCCACCCAGTGATTACCTTCACAAACAGGAACACTTCCACCCAAATATTTCCATCACACACAGGAAAACTTCCACCAGTGATTGCCTTCACACACAAGAACACTTCAATTCAGTGATGAACTTCATACATAGGAAAATTTCCACTAAATGATTATCTTCACACACAGGAACACTTCCATCCAGTGACTACCGTCATAAACAGGAACACATCCATCCAGTGATTACCGTCACACACAGAAACACTTCCATCCAGTGATTACCGTTACACACAGGAACACTTCCATTCTGTGATTACCTTCACACACAGAAACACTTCCACCCAGTGATTACTGTCACACACAGGAACACTTCCATCAAATGATTACAGTCACACACAGGAACACTTCCATCCAGTGATTACCTTCACACACAGAAACACTTTCATCCAGTGACTACCGTCACACACAAGAACACTTCCATCCAGTGATTACCTTCAAACACAGAAACACTTCCATCCAGTGACTATCGTCGAACACAGAAACACTTCCACCCAGTGATTACCGTCACACACAGAAACACTTCAACCCAGTGATTACTTTCACACACAGGAACACTTCCACCCAGTGATTACCGTCACACACAGGAACACTTCCATCCAGTGATTACCGTTACACACAGAAACAATTCCATTCAGTGATTACCGTCACACACAGAAACACTTCCATTCAGTGATTACCGTCACACACAGGAACACTTCCATCCAGTGATTACCGTCACACACAGAAACACTTCCATTCAGTGATTACCTTCAAACACAGAAACACTTCCATCCAGTGACTACTGTCGAACACAGAAACACTTCCACCCAGTGATTACAGTCACACAGAAACACTTCCATTCAGTGATTACCGTTACACACAGAAACACTTCCATTCTGTGATTACCGTCACACACAGAAACACTTCCATTCAGTGATTACCTTCAAACACAGAAACACTTCCATCCAGTGACTACTGTCGAACACAGAAACACTTCCACCCAGTGATTACCGTCACACACAGGAACACTTCCATTCAGTGATTACCGTTACACACATCAAAACTTCCATCCAGTGATTACCGTCAAACACAGAAACAGTTCCATTCAGTGATTATCTTCAGACAGAAACACTTCCACACAGTGACTAACTTCACACACAGGACCACTTCCACCAAGTGATTACCTTCACAAACAGGAACACTTCCACCCAGTGATTACCTTCACTTACAGGAATACTTGCACACAGTGATAACCTTCACACACAGAAAAAACACTTCAACCCAATGATTTCCCTCACACACAGGAAAACTTCCACCAGTGATTGCCTTCACACACAAGAACACTTTCATTCAGTGATTACCTTCACACACAGGAACATTTCCACTAAATGATTACCTTCATACACAGGAAAACTTCCATCCACTGATTACCTTCACACACAGGAACACTTCCACCCGGTGATTACCGTCACACACAGGAACACTTCCCTTCAGTAATTACCTTCACACACAGGAACACTTCAACTGAATGTTTACCTTCACACACGGGAACTCTTCCACCCAATGATTACCGTCACCCACAGGAACAATTCCACCTAGTGATTACCTTCAAACACAG